AACGTACTACTCATAAGGTTGCTGAAAATTCGTCGACAGCCCACGGCCGGTTTCTCCCTTCTTGGACGCAGTCCCCGAGTTTCCGTCAACCTTATGTTGTTATACTCACCCTCGGCTTGAACTTGTCCTATGAATTACCTCATCTCGAGAGGTTTGTAGCACGGTCGAATTTTTCTGTAGAAAAGGTGTTGGGGGGGGGGGATAATGGGATTGATTTCAGCCTGTTGAACTAGTCATTTGGACGAGTGTTAAACGTGGAATTACAGCCACAGTCTCTGATCGTTTGGGGTTTCGTCTGTTCTAACTTGCCCCATTTACCCTCGCCTTCCTGCAGCGAATCTGTGTCCAACTCACCTCTCATTATTTTTCTGCCATTCCTATGTGACCGTCCTTCAATGAGATATTCTCAGGTAGTCGATTCAGACTGATCTTCAACCTTACAACCCTATTCCCTTTTTCTTGGATCCGTTTAGATGACTTTGGCATCAGGCAGTATCCATAACGCAGTTTCCTTCCCTGAACCTACCACTGTGATCAATCTGGACTCACTGGATCAGAATGTGAACCACGCACATTGCCACAATCACCCTCATTATCATCGACATCATCAAGGACACGGTCTGGGCCCTCACCACCACCACCACCACCACCATCACATTCGTCATCACTCCGTGACTCATAATCACGTGAACACCCCGGTGAATAAGGAAAATACAATCATGACGATGACTAATGGTGGTGAAACCGTGTCGAAAAAGACCACCACTTCCGTGCCGACGACCTCCACACGGGATTTGAAGCGAGTAATGCATTTGTCCAATTCGAAAGAGTACAACGGTCCGGCAGAACAAAATGAACTATACTCCGCGCAGGCAGGTGGTGCACAATCCATGTTCGGGTCAGTGGATAGGCACCGCGCGAACACTGCTGACTCGTCCGTTGGTTCTCCCTTCCAAACAGGACAACCTACGTGCTTGGGTGAGCTACACTTTTTTTTTTGCTGTTTTACATCATTCATGTTATTTATAGCCTGGATTCTGTTTGATCTCGCTCATTGGCTTCTTTTCGGCCGGAATCGTATCATACGCCATCATTCATTTATTTAAAGCCTGGATTCTGTTTGATCTCGCTCATTGGCTTCTTTTCGGCCGGAATCGTATCATACGCTCATCAGTCCATGTTACTTTAGAGTAGCTGTTGGCTAAAGTTCAGACTGATGGAAGCCCAGTTTCTCACATCTTTCGATGACATCTCTGATACTGAATTTCTCTCTAACGTATCTTAAGCTTTCGCCAACAGATGATTGGTTGGCTCTACATAGGATCCACCGCCAGCGCATTCCATAAAACCTATTGATTCCAATTTGACACGAAACAAGAGCTCCTCCTAGTACGGCACATTTCAGTCTGGCAGCCAAGTGAGTGTATTCTGTGTTATGGAGGACAGGGGAGAGATGGCTCAAGTGGTTAGAGTGCGAATTTACTGACCGAAAGGTCCGTGGTTCGAACCCGACCTCTGTCTCTCGACTTCCCCTGTCTAGGCTTGGGCAACCTGGCAGTATCCTTGTGCTTCCTTCGGGTAGCATATCAGTTTGGCACCGAAAGGGTGTTACAGCCGAACGGTTTTTTTATCGAGGACAGGCAACCGGGATCACCTTGGAACAAAGAAAGGACTGCCACACAATAGTCAAGTTGTTTTGGCGGTTACCTTATTTAGGCTATGAAGTGGCGTCAGTATAAGCCGCACCGTTTTGAGGCCAAAGTTTCCCATGCATAATATGGATCAAACATCGATCTCTTGTCGGTTCAGATCACGTAGGCCGGAAGCATTGTCGATCCAGCTAACCGTCCGCAGGCACATGATCCTTAGAGGTTGTGATCCAATTTGCTCTGCTCAGTCGATAACCGCTACTAATGGCAAAAGGCACTTATCCGGTTGTAATTCTTTGCATTCCATCACCACCGGTTCACTTCCACTCCTAGAGTTTGATAAATTGAGGACGGATGATCAGTTGATCAGGTGGCCGTGATGATCTGTTGCCGAACAGACCAACAGCCACCTGATCAACAACCGAGGGAACGATTACTCACCATTGGCTACTTTAGTAATTAGCCAGATCAGCGACCACATATCTTAAATGCAGATTTGTTCCTGTTTTCTGTTACCTGCATCAAGGAGGTAATGGTCTTTGTCAGTCCTCGATGTTTCTCTGATGATATCTACTGGGATGATGGCGAAAAATGTACATGCCATTTACAAAGCTCGATGAACAGACGCATAACCGACACATATTTGGCCAGAGCTCATACACAACTCAACAGCACGCCGTAGAGAAGAGTACCCCAGCCACACTTCTTATACAATAAGTGATAGCAACCCTCTATTTCAAGGGATCAGTAAGATATGAGGAAATTCGACAAAACATGCTCGATATTTTGGTTTCCGGAGGTAGTAGTTGCTCTAATTTGTTCACAGGATTTTCACTGCAAACTGAAGCAGAGCCATAGAAACAATAAAAACCATATAGTTCACCACATAACTATGCGAGAATAGCCCGAAAATGCATCGAGATTGAGGACTACTTTGAGAATGCTCATTAGTTCAGATCTCTTCACTTACTGCTCATGAAAACAGGTACGCTAAAGCTCTGAGAATTATGCAGATATGGCTGTCAAATGACCCGGTGTACCACAATTCTGGCGTAGGTACGCTGAGATCTGAGAGATATGGCTATCAAATGATCCGGTGTACCAGGGCGCAACCAGTCAGAAACTCAGTCTGCCCTTGGTCTCCGGCTTTCGTTAGGGCCAGCATCAGACCAACTTCTGACTCACACGGTACGGCCCCTCTGGGCTGGTCACGTCCTCACCGCGATTACTCCGTCCTCGTTGCCGTGGCATCCAATCTCACAATTCAAGACCGGTCCGATCACGTCCCAACGTTGCAGGTCGACACCAGTGGGGCCGTCCTAATCGCGAATACTCCGTCCTCGTTGCCGTGGCATCCATCTCACAATTCAAGACCGCTCCGATCACGTCCCAACGCTGCAGGTCGACACCAGTGGGGCCGTCCTAAGCGCAAACGAGGGCCTTGGTAACCCGGGTGCGATCCCAGAGGCAGGCCCTTAAGCAGAGGCTTGAATCTCACGCGAAAGGTCAACAGATAGAAAAAGTGTGATCACCAGAATGTTGTTAGAACGTACAGTCGGGAAACGGACATACCGGAACCTACCGCGGTCACACGTATCTGAGGCGAGCCTGCGAATATCGGTAGGCCGCGGACTACACGGACACCGATGCATGCTCTCGGGCTGCATACGCCTGGGTGATATGCGGAAAAAATAACGGAAATTAGGCACCGCTAGGTCCCAACATGGTAGCCTTACACATGTCAGCGTCAGAGTGGCGATCACACTGAAGGGAATTTCTTGTGACCACTTGGGGAGAACGACAGAAACTCAGGGTGGGATTAACTAAACTCAGCTTCAGTTGTACTTTAACCACCAGGTGTCCACGAGATTCTCGCATCGGATTGCCAAAGCAACCGGATGCAGCATCATAGTGCTTATGTCGCATTCAGTTAATTACATCTTGAATTTCATCCTGAAGCCTCAAGGAAAGTGTAACACAATTGAATGAGTGTACGAAGGAGTTTGAAACAGCACTTGTTCATCTCTCGGATTTTTCGGAACCGGGGAATGAGTGTACGATTGGGCCGATCGTTCTCTTCCGTTGATCGACACCATATACTGAGAACCGCAATCCGTGCCATGCAGGCTGTGACCACAAACGTTCGGAAGAATGACTGAACCGAAGTCGTTGAACATGGGCACACCTTATATTGCGAGAATCGTGGAACGCCCGTATTTCCACCAATATACGCTTGGTGGCTATGCGACCAACTGTTGTTTCGTTTTGTAGCTCACCTTCATGGTATGTTTGCTAATTGAACACAACAGATGCAGACATATCAATGTGAGTAGATCTTACACCAGTATGCTTCTGAAGGTGCGTGCACCCGGACCTGTGGACACTAGTCGCCGTCAGTAACCAAGTTCCACTACTGAGCAAAGCAACGGAGTCGCTCACGCCTGTCTCACCATACACAACAGCTGACTGCTGTCCCGTCACCCGGTGCTTATTAACCCGTAGTTTTTCATCTCTAGGTGATGGAAATCGCACAAAGTACACTGGCCAACCCGAGTGTACAAAGACACGAACGTCTGTGAGACTGACTGTTCCAAATCGGGACGAGTGAAGCCGTAGTGTTAGTGATGGACAAATGACTTGGCGGGACAACATCAACCAAACCCCTATAGATCTTCTGCATCCATTTTTTTACCAGTTTACCGAAGTAATAGCTCTGTTAGACTCTGGGGTCTAGTTCTTAGATTCCATTTTCTTGGTGTGGAGTAATGGCTTCATAAAATTGTCCACGGTGGTATGACTGTCGTATGTTGCGACACCCTGTGCTATACTCGACCAGAGGAAGGCCCAGCAGAACTGATTTTCTGTGGGCCAGCACCGTACACCTCGTCAGTGGTTTGGACAGAAAGTTCCTGTGAATTGAGGGCGTAACAAGCATGGATGTTGGGTTCGGTTCGGGGACACCACATCAATTCAATACACGAACCCACTGGCGCAGGGAGAGATGGACCAAGTGGCTATAGAGCGCGAACTTACTGATCGGAAAGTCCGTGGTTCGAACCCGACCTCTACCTCTCGACTTCTCCTGTCTAAGCTTGGGCAACCTGGCAGTGTCCCAGCCCTCGTGCTTCCTTCGTGTGGCATGGTTGCTAGGCACCGAAAGGGTGCTACAGTTGAGCGATTATCTCATATTGATCGTTCGAATAGGAACGGATGTGACTGGCGAGATTATAACAGCCAATTTGGTCCATTTCAACGAATACCATTTCCACTGTATTTGATTGTCCGTATTGTGGAACAACGCCGATTATCTCTGGTCTAGTTACGTTGATCTAAAAGTCCGGCTAGGCTGTAAACTGCCTGGTGAGTTTGACAGGGCTATCGATCTGGTTTGTCGATCGTCTGAGTTTTTGTCCCCACTTGAGTATTGCGAAAAGTCCCAGTCAGGCGGATGAGTGTGTTTTCCCAAATTAAATATAGGTTCGGCGAATGTCAGTAAATTATTTGACCGTGACTCGCGGCTATTTGAGACCGTTCGTTGGCGAAAAGTTATACAATTTATCTAAATCAGTGTGTTCTACATGAATGTGTCGTTGGACGGTTCATGATTTACCTGAAGGACACACTGAACCCGTTTTTTCATTAGCGGTCTCTCTTGCACCTTTATGTGCAACTACATAAAGTTAGTTATCCTGACGCTAAAGTCTTCCAGGTGCGCAGTAGTGAACCGATCATGAGGTGTAAAATTTGCCCCCCCCCAGATGTTCCCATTATGTGAAACAAGAGTCACAGTATTTAATGTTTGCACGCATTAGAAAGCATTGTAATCAATGGATACAGGTGTGAGCATAGTGAGATGCTCTGGTGATTACGGTTTGGTTTCGCGTGGCCTTCATCCAGTTGACGAAAGTCTGGTGCGTCGAACGGCGTGCCGCATGAAGCCACATTAATCGTGTTGAACGCCTAGTGTAGTTGAGTTATGGTTACGTACCGTTGAGCACTGGAGCGATCAATTCTTGATAGAAACCGCCTGCTGAATGACGCAATTACCGACAGCGTAGTGGGAGATTCAGACTCACTCCACAAATAGGGGGACCCTGTAAGAGAAGTAAAGAACGGCTGGTGTCCAATACTCTGCAAGGAGTCAGTGGTGAATAGAGGATAGTGGAGACCATAGCGGTCCCGTTCTCTGATGGCAGTTTCCAGCTGGAACTACCGTGAATATTCCATCAGATGAGTTTGTACGTCTGTAAGACCGCCAACTCAATCAATCCTCGGAATGGATAGGTGTAATTCCTGAAGTTGTGGACCAAAATCCGCCGGAAAAAAAAACAGGCAAAGCACATGACACAAGGGTAACCCATCACAGTGAAGTGGAACTCTGTTTTGGCCTTCTGAAGTGGACTGATTTAGGACCGCGTTTGTCGCGTATTTGTTTTGCTTCCCACCTGACTCTCATGGAATACTCATCTGCGCTGTCGCACGATTGGCCAGCAAACATATCGCACGAGTTACTCGACAGCTCTGTGGATGTTCTTTTGCACTCATGGCGGTGTCGTCGCACCGTGGCAGCCTTCCCCACAAAAAAACGACCTGCCATCGGGTTGGGTAGCGCGGGTGATAGCTCAAAGGCCGAAGATAGTGTAAGCTGCGTAAGGTCGGCGAGTTAATGAGTGAGTGAGTGGGACCATTACAGTACTATCTATCTGGACCATTACTGGTCACACGGACAAGGGCGGATTCTAGCTGGAGAGTTCCAGAGCATTACTGTTGGCGTTCCGTGTGTACGTCTGAGCAAACTGTTTGTGAATTTCGCGCTACCATCAGCAATGCTGCGCAGAAGATAGTGAGCACTTCCGAAGGAAACTCAGAAAGCTTATGAAATCCCCGTTTCGGGGGAAATTAGGTAGACTATGGACTGTCGGTATTCGAATTCGAACTTGTAACTTCGAGAGAAAAATGACTTCGGTGTGCTGCTGCTATGCAGTTCGCTTTGATAGCGTAGTCTCGATACCCATGTGGTTCCCAGGTTCGGTACTTCAGGACATTCACTGCTAGTTGGAAGGCGGTTAACGCGACTAACTGCACGTGGTCGAACCTGTTCAGGTGAACCAAGCCACCTGTGGACAATCTGTATTGAAAGGTGACCAAAGTCCACTTTACGGTGTTGTACAACCAACGACTTTCACCGCCTTGAAGATCTTCAGCCCATAGTGTAGGATATTCAGCTTTATTCCGGCTAGTATTGGAGGTCCGTGAGATCGATTTATCTACTTGTTGGTTTGTCATGTCATGTCATGCTTGTGTGCTTTGTTCCCTTTTCCACCTTGCCTGGACAACTGTTAATGTTTAATTACTGGGGCTGCCTTCATTGGGCTTTAAACAGACAACAATAAGATATTAGCCGGTCTAATTTCTCGCGATTTTCCCTTCTCCACGTTTCGTCACTCGTTTTCCTCAGTTCTAAACGATCGATAGACAGATAGATAGCCGGTAGACACAGAGGGCGCGAGAGAGAGAGCGATAGAAATTCAGATGGACGACCATTGATGTGTCTGTTGCAAATTTGTGCACCAAGTCAGAGGAGGAGGACGTGCGAGACCAATTTGGGTTGGAGGATAGTCGGCCGAACTGAAAGCAATGAAGTGTAGAGCCGTCTGAATAATGGTCGTAAAACCTATCATGATAGTGGAATTCTATCACCATTTTGGAGGAAATTGTAGCTGAAAAAAGTTTACATTTTCCGTCTGTCACGGGACCACCTTACGTCCAAACACTGGTGCAGACAAATCCCAAGGCATCTTCTGTGTCGTTGGTCACGTGTTTGCATGCCAACACAGATGCATACACAAACAGGACAAGATCATTCAGCCACCGTCATCCGTTTCTCTTATCTGGCTTTGTTGATGTCTGCCTGTCTACCACATCAAACCGACGAAATTTCCTGTTTGGGTTCGTTCCCGTCTATTTGACACTGGTCCATTCCTTTGGCACGGAGCGATTCACATGAATCACTGCTTGTTAGCGTTGCATCCTGAGAAAGCGGAATTTTCTGTCTAATGCTGCTACCAAGTAAACGTAACTCCGTTCCTGCAGAACCGGTGAGAAACAGACAGATTAGAGGCGAACGCATCAATGATGAAGGTCTGCTGGGGGGAACTTCTAATCGGTTGGCAGGAGTCCTATCTTCTGAAGAGTTGCCGCGCTATCGGGACCACCAGACGGCCGACTACATCCACCATAGGGCAATCCCCTTTGACCATTGGTCGGTCTTGCTTCTTTTCATACCCAAGGCAGGGACCGTTTACTCGCACTCGAAGAACAGCGGCGACACCGAAACAGTTCACTGGAACTATGTAGTTTACTCGAACGACAGGTATGTGTTTGTGGAAAATGATCCAGCTTACGCAGATATGCGCATGGAAGCAATGTGGTGTTGGACTTGGAATCGACTCATCCGGGGATCCTAGGTTGTCCTTGTGTTCCCTTCGTGTGTACTCGTTAGTCCAGTGAAAATTGAGTTAGACTTAAATGAGGATCATATGAAACAACAAGTCCAAGTTGGCGAGTTCCTGGGCCATACAGGGGATGGGAAAACTTCGCTGGGCAATTTTCACACTAGGTACATTTCTGTAATTAGACCGCGCGCAGAAGTTGCATAGGCAGGAGTAGGCCATCATTAAGGTTTTTTCTTCTGGATCATTCCGGATGGGGACTCCGAGACCGGGCACGTCAATCGTTGTTAGTGACATTGTCAGCCATGGTCCAGTCTCGCCCTCAATGGCACTCGTGCGTCCAAGCTGTTGCCTCCCAATCTACCCAACTAAGTCTACTGACAACCCTGTATTTCCGCATCAACTGGAACTATGTAGTTTACTCGAACGACAGGTATGTGTTTGTGGAAAATGATCCAGCTTACGCAGATATGCGCATGGAAGCAATGTGGTGTTGGACTTGGAATCGACTCATCCGGGGATCCTAGGTTGTCCTTGTGTTCCCTTCGTGTGTACTCGTTAGTTCAGTGAAAGTTGAGTTAGACTTAAATGAGGATCATATGAAACAACAAGTCCAAGTTGGCGAGTTCCTGGGCCATACAGGGGATGGGAAAACTTCGCTGGGCAATTTTCACACTAGGTACATTTCTGTAATTAAACCGCGCGCAGAAGTTGCATAGGCAGGAGTAGGCCCATCATTAAGTTTTTTCTTCTGGATCATTCCGGATGGGGACTCCGAGACCGGGCACGTCAATCGTTGTTAGTGACATTGTCAGCCATGGTCCAGTCTCGCCCTCAATGGCACTCGTGCGTCCAAGCTGTTGCCTCCCAATCTCCCCAACTAAGTCTACTGACAACCCTGTATTTCCGCATCAATTGTATCAGCTACCGCCTCCAATGCACCACCCCAAATCATAGGCGAGCGAAACTGTGGCAGCTAGGACCACCGCACGGCAACTACGCGAGTTTTTGAAGCTGATGATGATGATGACCACTCTCGCCTCTGTAAAGACCGCCGGTTACGGTCGACCAAAGTACGTTCAGTTGTAGAATATCATAAACGAGAGATTCAGCTGAGTCTCTCGTGAAAATCAAATTGATTTGCATAAGAGTTTATTTCTCGAAAACAGTCCAAATTGGGTTCAAGTAGAACATAAGGTTGACGGAAACCCGGGGACTGCGCCTACCTGATGAGCCCCAAAAAGGGCGAAACCGGTCGTGGGCTGTCGACGGGTTTTCAGCAACCTTATGAGTAGTACAATACAAAGATATACGTTCAGTCTCGTTTGGGTTTATTAAGATGGGGGCGAGATGGCTCAAGTGGTTAGAGCGCGAATTTACTGGCCGTAAGGTCCGTGGTTCGAACCTGACATCTGCCTCTCGACTTCTCCTGTCTAGGCTTGGGCAACCTGGCAGTATCCCAGCCCTTGTCCAACCTTCGTGTGGCATGACAGCTAGGCACCTTAAGGATGCCACAGGCGAGCACAATAGAATGCAATAGAATCTCCAGAATAACAAAAAATGACATCTTTGGGTGACGTAGGTAATTGATTGTGTGTGATGATGATTTCGACTCTGATGCATTGTTGATGCTCTGTTGATTAACTGGCTTGCAACTCACCTCAGGTGTTCAGTAAAGCTCCGCTTACTTGTAAACCTCCCGGTTGTATTCGTCTGGAAGTTTAGCCTTGTCCTTATCCTAATGGACACGTGACGCTTTACTCAATCACGTGCACTGCCCGTTATGCCATATAGGTACAACTTAATAAAGGTGCTAAAGGTGACTTTGACGGATATACCGTTGTGTGAAATTTGCGTTAGAGCCTCTCAAAACCATTCTCAGATTTTGAACTACTATGGAACAGTATCTTATTCGCAGTTAAGATTTCCCGGAAGTCTTCATTTTTGTGGATTGCCTCTGTCTTTTTGGCTGTTAACACCTTCCACCTCTCCTCCACTCAGTCGGGGACATTCCTCTCTCATTAGTACAACATTCGATCGGTTCAAAGGCTGCAGTAGGTAAATATGTGGAAAAAAATAGTTCAGATATGACTGCCATCTGCGCACTCGAAGGAAACATGAGGGTTGCTCGGGTCGCCAAAGCCCAGACAGGAACAACTGCAATGTGTTGGGGCCTAGGCTCGAATCACGGACCTTCCGGTCAGTAAGCTCGCACGCTACCCGATGAGCTTGACTTATTACGTGTTGCAATCCATTCAGCAAGACTTTTAATGATGTAGTCACATCACCTTCTCCAGTGGCTATCGAAAACTTTATTTGAACAGATGGTGTGGACATTGGTTTTCGGTCTTGACAGTGGTGGGCGCTGGACAAATGAACCATACGAGCGAAGCATTCGGATCGAATCAGTTACAACGAAGATCTATTCATAGGAATGGAACATAGGATGACGCACACTTGAGTGAATTACGAGACTGGAGGAATTGACAAGAGTGGTCAATTCGTAATCACAATACTTGACCTCCCAGTAATGAGAAGTCCCTCTCTAGTGTGATCAAATGTTGCGAGAGACAAGCTAATCTTTGATGAGTGGAAGTTTGGTCTCCAACCTACCGTGAATTTAGTAGCATGCATCCGTCTGCGTGACCGTGTGTCCATGCATCCAGGTTTGTTTGTGTTGTCTTAGTAACCATCTATTAATGAACGGCACAACTCGGGCTGAGTGGATAGGGACCACAGTCCGTAGTGATAAAACACTACGAAATATGGCTTTCGAGTAACACAAAATGGTGTACACTAACTCTCAAGAGGGATCATTGTGGGAGAACGGGTAGCGTTCGGCCTCCGTTTGGCAGACTAGCATATAAGTAGTTACAGACTAAATCATGTTGGAACACACAGTTGCAAGAAAACGGCTCATCTTCCGAAGGGTGTTTGTCAAGTTGTTTTTACCTGGGGGAAATGGGTCGAAAAACCAAATTAGTTTGCAAATGAGTGCACATTAGCTAATTTCGTACAATTTTGTTTTAAGTTGAACATAAGGTTGACGGAAACCCGAGGTCTGCGCCCACCTGATGAGCCCCAAAAAGGGCGAGACCGGTCGTGGGCTGTGGATGGATTTTCAGCAACCAAATGAGTAGTACATTGCAAAAATGGGTCTTAGTTTCGGCATCTAAACAGAAGGTTCGCCAAAGACCACAAGGTTGCTGAATATTTCCCAAGTAGTGTTCCGTCTAGACAATATACTACGATATCTTGAATGTCGTCTTAACTGAAGTACATTTAGTTGAAGGAGATCACTATAAACGAGATTCAGTTGACTCTCCGGTTGAAACCAAATTAGTGCACAGATGAGGGAATTCCGTGAAGCTGAGGATTTGTTTGTTGTCCGAAGGCGTGTACAGACCATGTCTAACCACTACTCTGCCCCACCCAAGCGTCCAGATTCATTCCCATATCTCAGTGCCGGTCCCTTGAATTGTCTGCTCGAGAGAAACGACCATGACTTGCCATCCAACTGCGAGACAGAGAGAGCCTAATTAGCCGACCTAAATGTTTCGCTTCCGACCAATCAACATCGTGGCTTTGTTCTGTCTCTCTCTCTCCATCACACACCCGCCACCCTTCACAAGCGTATGTAGGCACACCCATGTTCGTCCTGTGCGCTACCTGCGCCGTCCTCTCAGCTACGCGTTCTGTTGTGGACCGGTGTGTGATCACACCCAGTGTTCTTATCCTGCCTGGCATGCTTGTATGTTCACGGGCCTATCCATGCACCCACGTGGTGTACGTGAACTAGTCAATAGCCCAGGAACAATGAGTGATTCTCACTCTACCTCACGACTAACAGCTACTACTCACTGTGAATTAGACAGATTATTTACGTAGATACCTGTCCAGGGTTTGATTGTGCCGATGCCTCTAAAGTCGTGGGTCATGTGACAGATACAGGGTAGGTCCACCTGTCCAGATTGATTGTTTTCCGCTTACGTAGCACCTTCCTCTGTCCACCCCTCCCCCATCGTAACCACCACTTCGCTGATGTGATCGCATGAATACAATGGGAACGGCGAGAGAGAGAGAGAGAGGAATCTCTCTGTTGGGTGTCCCTTTCGTAATAGGAGTGTGGAGTAGTGCATTTTCTTCCCCGTATGGTGCGGTTGCTTCAATTCTCTGTGAGACTTCTCTTTTGCGTGTCTTGGTTTACGTCATTTGTGTTTTATTTTGTTTCATTGAACTACACTCCCTCACATCCTATAATGAGTCCCACTCTAAGACGGTGTATGTGACATTCATAAGTCTTTTCGTCCCTCCGAACTACGATCACCTCTCTACTAGAGCTGAATTCGCTTGCTAATTTTTCGAGGTTGTAGCTGGTGAAGAGCATCTCATCAAACTTGGAGAATTCGGATAAGGCGATGATGGATTTGTATATTTGTGATGCACTACTCACAAGGTTGCTGAAAGTTTGTCGACAGCCCACGACCGGTTTTGCCCCTCTTTGGGCTCATCAGGTAGGCGCAGTCCACGAGTTTCCGTCAACCTTAAGTTCTACTTGATAGATTTGTTCTACGCAGACAGGTTTATGTGTAACCCTCTTGGCGACATTTCCCGGGCATTTCCTGAGCGAACGGATGTCATTCGAGTGGAATATGAAGTATCCTCGTGACGGTCACTTTAACCTATGGGACGGTTGCATGACGGACCGAAAGCTCTTCTCCCCGAAGTTTGATATCCTCGAAGGACGGTATTTGGATCTCATGCTCGTCCGATAGAAAGAGGGGGTTTGGCCCCATCGTTTATGTGTCTTTTGCATGTCTCAGTAAGAGCAAAAACAGGCCAAAGATGAGTGGAACTATAAAGACATTTCCAGCTGAAATTGGAACATTCCTGTTGAGTAGTTGTTCTTGGACAATGCAGCACCCGAAACTTCGCTAGACACGGGGATGTTTTGCAACTCTTATGGGGACGTCTTAAAATAATAATAATAATAATAATAATAATAATAATAATAATCCTTCAGCTGGAATATCCTTTTGGTGCCTAGCTGCCATGCCACCATAAGGTAGCACGATGGCCGTGTTCCCAGCTAGGTTACTCGAGCCTATACAGGAGAGGTCGGGTTCGAACCACGGACCTTCCGGTCAGTAAATTCGCGCTGTAACCACTGAGCCATCTTGCCCCTAGGACTCCTTACCGTGAGAGCCTCACCGCTTTGTGGGTGGGGACTCACACTGTTTCGAATGCCACCTTACTGTGTTGCCTAAAGCGCTCACCAACGTCTCCTTGGTACAAAGTATTTGAATGATGAAAACAAGACGATAGGTGCATTTTCACGCTCAACGAGTGTTAGTAAACTTGTAGTTTTTTGCTTCTTCTTCGTATTCGATGGTTTCGCACAAAAATCCCCCTGATTTCGATTCAACACCTACGTCTCTGAATCACGTTTTGGTGGGACGGCGATGGAATGATTCTTTTGTGTCACGTCCTCTGTTTTCCTTCCCTCTGTGTAGCTGTACTCGTTTCATTGTATATTTCGTGATCCCACACCGTATTGTCTCTTGGTTCCACAGTTGCTACTCGGGAACCACAATCTGATCGATCAAGGACGGGTCATGTACATCCTGCCACACCACCACCACCACCACGGTGTTCGCCGAGCTCAACAGGGAAATTCACGATCAGCTTGCCCACTACATCGCCTGCGTCGAGCGTCCATAAAAAAGAGCATGGAGAACGGTAAGCGTACTCCCACGAAGGTTTTCTCAAAACTTTGATGAAAATCTCTTAAAGTTTGAACTCACTGTATTTGTGGTGATTTGGGCCTCAGACTACAGCTGGGCTCGAACTCGTGACCGATTAGTCCAGTGGTTCCATGCGAGCTTTGTGTTCATCCGTACTGACTCCCTGCGGAAGTGTGTCTGTCTCTCTGAGTTCGGAGTTCATAGGTTGACTGGAACCGTATTCAGCCATCCCAGTTTCACTTAGACTCACGGTCACTGCACATTCACTGTGTTTCGGACCATAGCACACCAGTTGTTTGTAACTGCAAGTCCAGAAACCATCATGGCATGCTGGCCGTGCGTGTAGAAACGCAAGCATGAAGTTTTCAATGTCAGCTACTTCCGTGCCCACCCACCAGGTTCTTCGTGGTTTTCGTTAGGAGTCGCAAAGAGTTTGTCGCTCCCAATCGCATGAAGCGTTGATGAACCTCATCCGTTGACCCAAATTTTTACGTCTGTCTAGTTACTAACGGGTATGTGTCAAGGTGGACCAGAGGAGCCATCGGGGACAACTTAATGTGGAATTCCCTGGTAAGAGGGCCGGAAGCCCCTTTCTCTGTGGTCTTTCAAAGTGATTAGTGCTTGATGTAACTTCAAGGGGTCCACCAAACGATCCTTCGTGGGAAAATAGCTGAACGTCTGCCCCATGTATTGTCTTCCGTTTATCTAACTCCTTGAACTCATTGACTACGTTTAATCTTGAGCGAAAAGCACATCAATAATCGGCGTAGCAACCGGGAAATGGAACCCGATCAAGGGACCCGTCAAATCTTCCCTGTGGAGATGTCTACATGTTATGCCTTTCTAACAGGCCTGCAACACCAAGTAAACAATTTGTTGTGTTCGAACGAGGGGCGGTTCGACACTAAGACCGGTTTGACCATCACAATGCAATGATGATATCACCTCGAATGGTGATGAAACGCTTGCGATTCAGCGAACAAATCAACGGTCATCATTACGATCTGGTCTACCAGTATTTTCTTCAACGTGTTATTTTTCCATTTCAAGATCTATCCGAGGGCGTCCTGCCGGAACATCAGTGCGATTCTGTAGGGGCATGCAGTCCTAGATTGATTGGGTTTCATTAATCCCAATGGCTCCTAAGCCAAAATAGGGTCTCGGATGTTCTCTATGAGTATCTGCTAAAATCGTCGCAACATTCACATGCCCAAGAAGATCAAGGAAAATCCACCACTGGCCTCCGAGGTGAATCATCAAGTGAAGCACCCTGAAGTGGAATATTAGGGAACGAAAAGCGACTGGAATTGATTTGAAACTCCTGCAACCCATCAGTTCAAGACTTTGGCACCCACACTAGCCGACAAGAGCCGTTAATTGACACTCAACACTGATTTAGTCTGAAGAGAACTTACTGATTGGTTCCCCGTCTGTCTTATAACTTGGCCAATTTGGTGACCTGTTCACTTGGCCTGATGAAGCTTTTGTGTCAAAAGCGAAACGTTGCCCAAATAAAAACTACCGACTGTGTACCAAGCTCTCCTGGAACGATGACTTTTCAGTCGGTTCCAAGCTTTTTCCAATTGATTGAAAGCAGATACGGATCTGCTAAAATTCTTTGCCCACGGCTTGAAAACTCCTCTGGAAGAATCGGTCACCACTCAGATGAAATAATGTGACTGCTGCCAGTAGTCAGGTTATACCAATAAGTCAGTAGCTGATTTTTCAGACTTCCCATGGCCCTTTAATCAGTCGTCTAAAACCAACAGCCAAAAGTTCATCTGTTCGGTCGGTCACCTTGTGGCCTCTAGCATTGTTGTTTTCACTATCTGTGGGCGTTTGCTTTCCATTATATGTACACTGACGGGAGTTTTTGAGGCATGAGTTATTCCAGCGTGACACAATGAATGGTTTCCATCGAGCAGATTGTAAATTCCATTTTGAATAAAGACCAAGAAAAAGGTATGACTCTTGTTCGTGTAGTGAGCTTGACATTCCTGAGAATTCTCTCTCTCTCTCTCTCTACGGATCGCTTACATCAGTTGGTGTGTGCAGTCCACACTCTCACTCTCGGTTGCATATTCTAACACGCCAGAGCAAGAATTACTTTCCGGAATCGGGTAAAGACAACCAGCTATCCGTATGACAGTTGTAACGTTCCAAACGAAATGGTGACTGTTAATTGGCAGACTGGGAATTCTATGGTACAGTTGTCCCTCCTGTGAACAAGCTCTTTGCCCAAGAGAAGGACAAAATCGGGGTTCTGTCATTCGGGCGAAACCAAATTTAATTGAACAGTCAACAAGCATTTGCATGGCTTTTTTTAAAAAACGTTCAGCTGTAGCACGCTTTCGGTGCCTAGCTGTCATGCTGCACGAAGGGGGCACGAGGGTTGGGGTACTGCCAGGTTGCCCAAGCCTAGACAGGATAAGTCTAGAGGTAGAGGTCGGGTTCGAACCACAGTCCTTTCGGTCAGTAAGTTCGCGCTCTAACCACTTGGTCCATCTCGCCCCCGGCTTTTTTCAGTCCCCACATTTATCACACGAATAGCTAGAACGATTGGATCTTTGGGATAGGGGCGTAAACTTTCTATCAATCTGCTACGAGGAGTTGGCCATCCACGTTAGTGACTCACATTTTGGCAAGATGTAGTGCCAGCGATCCACACTACTGACCGTTTGAATCACGTGACTTTTCATTGTACTCCTTCGTGCCAACTGCTTCTCAACATCTGCTTCTGTGTCTCTTCCGGTCACACCCCTTCTCAAGGTCGAATCGGTATGCACCTATTGTGAACAGTGATTCAGTTGGCCTACCGTCACGGAGAGACTAGACCTTACCGTGGTGTGACGGTTTGCGCACCTCAGCGATCCATTTAGCTATACTGCGGTGTGTCCCCGCGACACTCACGGAGTCTCATACCACGTTGGTCTCTATGGTTAGAGGTGTGACGAACACAGTCTCCTGGCCCTCCAGGTTGGGGGTTGGAACATGTGGCGACTTGTTCCGTAGAAATGGTAATGCATTTGCATTTCCCGCCAAACACCGCTGCCTTGCGGTGAGGCTTTTGAGCCAAATACTTTGGTTGAGGACCCTAATCGTCCTCCTGTCTAGGTGTGGGCGCCCTGGCAGTATCCCAGCCCTCGTACAACCATGACATTCACAACTAATACGACAGTGAAGCATCGGTGTTGAACACTTATGTCATGCTGTCGATGATGATGATGATGAACAACCTAGGAACGGATAATGATAGTGAGCCCATTGAGTAAGACGGTAGGCTTGAGGTAGTTGGCTTTGGGGGGCGATCACAGTGGTGGAAACGGAATATAAGTTAAGTACTTCAGGAGTGATTTTATATTTCGCTATGGATGACCAGAAGAACAGAAGGCTGCATGTGGATTCATGTCGGATCGTAAAGGTACTTGGTCCACTACGCCTTGAGTACGAATTTTCAACATAAACGTTCGCATCGCGTAACCTGGCGACCACCATTTGCGAATCAACCGTGGACCCAGTTGGACCACGTGGCTATCAGCCACCGGTGGAGAGCCACCTAAAACTGCTGTTCCTTCTGGGGCACACCACTTGGTTCCGATCACGCCATGGTGCGCGCACGCGTGGCAATTCGTTTCCCTTCAGGCCCTCGCCAGTCAGCAAGAAACATGCCAATCTACTGTCTTCGAAGAACTACCAACAGTGTCGATCTGAACTAGCCCAACAACTCTCCACAGTAAGCCAATACTGTGGTGGCAGTGAGCATGTGGATGAAGCGTGGCAAAATGTGAAAGGAGCTATGTTAGTGGCGTTCAGTGCAGTATTGTGCGAAGTTCCTCAACAAAAGCGCTCGTTTGGGTTTTGGGGTTATACCTCCACAGTTCACAACGCTAAGCAGCACTTCCCCGCGGAGATTCTGGTTTTCTCCGAGTGTAACCAGGCTAGTTTTGCGAAACACCCACGTGAAGATTCATTTCGTGTAAACGGGCGACTCAGCTAAATCAATCGTCCAAGGGGTTTCAGCAACCTAATCAGTAGTATGTTTACTCGAGAGACTAATTTTGTTTGACGAATCTCTTAGCTTTTGTCAAGGCGAATTGTAAAGTCCGTAAATGCTCATCTTTTGTAACACACCGGGATTTCTCAACACAAGGAAGTCTGTTGTTGTATGAGGGACTGATAATCTATGCGCTCCATGCACAGAACTAGAGATTTTGTGCAGTTCCTCTTTTAGGCGTCAGATTTCAAAGTAGGTCACAGCGGATCAATAGAAGGAACTTACAGTCGAGCTGACACATTAGCCGACAAACCCCATTGTGCCTATATGTTGGAGAAAAGCGACCCTAATTGCACTCCTAACTGGTGCTCACATCCGAGTTGATGTGACTTCTACACCTATGCTGTTTTTGCCACGCTTGCTAATCCCATTTCGTCCCATGTATTGATTGATCTGGATGAGTCATTTCCAACCGCTAACAATTGGTCCTCACGGCAGGCGCTATTTTTTTTGTCAGCCGCGTCCTCGAGGGGGCGTAATCGAAATGTACTTTTTGCATTGGATACCTACCTCTTAAGGATTTTGCATTCCGACCGTATGTGGCTTAAAAACCATCAGGTGTGTTGAGAACAACTGTGCTCGATGTTGGAGCCGGATTCTCCTCACGTGCGACCTTGCGGGCATTCATCCGAAATGGATGAATTTTCCGACCGTGGCAATTTTCGGTACTGTAATGTGGTTGTCCTGCTCTGGGGCTGGTAGCCTACGGGTCTAGGGCCCATTCACGCGTGGCACACCTTCGTGATTCCAACTTTTTCACTCGATGCAACCATACTGTGTACTTTGTGATCTATCCTCCAATTTGCTCACATCAGAACAATGGTATCACTCGTTTTTTACTCCACCGGCCGATATTTTCCGGGCAGGCTTGTTGCGACCCGGATACAGTGTTTAGTTATTTCGTTATCGTCGCTGTTGTCTGAAAATCGATTGTTTGCGCGATTGGACACATGCACACGGCAGAACGTCTGTTCCGGTGAACCAATCGGTGTGGTGCGCACGCACACGTATGCCAGACTGACTGATTGATCTTCACTATTATCCCGCGTCTAGTTTTGTTTGGGTCGAGCGGCGCAGGTCATGGACCCTCTCCGATTTAGGACTGACCAAGCGATCTCGCCTGGTTTATCGACCTTCTTCAGGCCACCCTATGTTCATATCTGTCGCTGTTGTCGTGGCAGCAAGACGCCATCCTCACTCTGATGTGGGGTCCAAATTCCTGTGTTGATGATGGAGAAGGTAAGCTCCGCAGTGAGGTATGCCCCCCTGTGCGGTATAGTACTGACGAATGGATGAGACCGATATGACAAAAAATGGGAGAACAGAATAATCGGTCTTGTATGCTTAGAAATGGCAAGGTTGTCGGTAGATTCGCCCATATCTAACTAAGCCACTGGTCATTAGAAGTCATCTGGGAACTAGAATCGTTGGATAGTCAGCGAACAAGATGACTGATGTCCGATCAGCGTGTCTAAGGCTCGCCTCTCTAGAGCGACCACAGAGCTGGCCAGGTTTTCACGCTTACACTCAATTTGTGCCTTCATTTGGCTGACCAATCAATAGAGCGCTCACGCCGAACAAAGCGCGTGTCTACTTTTTGCCAGCAACTGAGCGAGCAGTTTATTACGGCACCAACAGATTGCAGGAGCTTGTAGTATGCTGACGGGGCTTCCCAGTTGGATGGTATGTACTCAATCAACTGCTGTTCCCATGCCTTTAATCGATTCATTGTTAAGTTTAGCCATACTCGTGTGTGTGTGTGTGTGTGTGTGTTGGGGAGGGGAGTCCAGCAACGCCTCCGGGGAGACAGTCAAACAGACTTGTTTTATCAGCTGGATTGATCAGCATTTCAACGCATCTTCAGATCGACGCGTTGATGGGCGTTTTGGACTCAAGGTGGTCATACCATTCTATCGGGTAGCTATACTTTGATATTTCAGTGTTCTGGTTGGATCAGTTATAAACCGTGTACCATAGGCACATTGGCTCCCGCTTCTACAGCTTCGATCACTGGAAAAAGGGAGAGTGTGGGACACCTAACCAATCCTTGGTGAGTTCGGGAACTGGATGGCCACGCATTGAAGACAACAGCTTTGATGCACGAGCGCCATAGACTGTGCGATTGGGCTATGTCTGCCAGTGTTCTGGTTGAATCGCATAGCAAAATGCATACAATCACCGAAACGGTCGACTGAAGTAACTAAGGGGTCCGAACTAGTGCGTCCTGATGTCGTTTTGTGCATTTTGTTTTTCTCGTGTGCCTAGCTACCGGGCGCGGGGTCTGAGATGCTACCAGGTTGTCCAAACATAGACAGGAGCATTTGGGACGCCGGGGCTGGGTTCGAACTACGGATCATCCTTGATCACTGAGCTATATCAAGCTCACGATGAGCCCTCTATAAAGACTGTTAACTATGACACACGGATAGCCTGATGAACCTGATGCGTATCACTACGAATAACACAGTTTGGGAACGGTGATCCAGTTTGTTTGATCCAATCAACTTTTTTTCGCAGCTGTTTCCTCTATCTCTTTTCACTCCTAGGATGCCACACACACACACTTGACTGTCTTGTTTTCTGTCTTCTCACAGTGTTATGCAACTGCAACACTTACTTCCACCGGAAGCCATACAAAAAATCCGTCAGATATGGAAAGATATCTTTGGTGCCGGTGCGACCAGATCAGATGATCGTTCTCTCCTCTCCCTTGGATCGATCTCCAGCGGGCCTGCTAGCCGAGTCCAGCCAGGAGGAGCCTTAAGAGAACACTTTGCCCGTCGTGTCCGACAGATTGTGCGTCAGTATCTTGGTCCAAATGCGTTAGTTACCGCGAAGCAGACGCGAACCACCACAGCCAACGTGTCAGTTACTGTACCCGAGGCACCGACTGAAGAAACGAAACCAGCTGATCTGTTTTTCGGACCGAATGGTCGTGATGGTATGTCTGTACTGTACACTGCACACACTAGCTCCTTGTTTGCTTTTGCTAGCTTCTTGTGATAGCAGAACTTGGTTCTAAGACTGTTCAATCCTCGGCGTTAATCACTTCGTTGGTGTCATGCGTCATTGGGTTCCAGTTGGGGAATTGTCGACGTATACCTAGGGATAAGAGCTTGCCTAATCACCTGTACGTTACCATAGTTACTCTGGTTTCCAACATTTGTTTGCATTCTGCGTACGTGGCTTGCATCTTCATCCCCAGCGGGGAAGGAACGTACTCTTGGAGCTGACAGTTCCTTGTGTTGTTACTTGCTGAACGGTAGTGCAACCCTGTATCGGTCCCTTGGTTTCCTGTTCCGCTCACTATGGTATATCAGAAGGCACGGTAGCTTCAGACAGCTCCTTGTGTTCGACAAGGTCGTGCCAGAATCTCCGTGAGGGGGCGAGAAGTGTCCAGTCAAGGATGCTCGACCCGGATTGGCTGGTATTCTGACCAATCAGGGTATGCCTTCGTTTGGTTCGTGTCCTGCACGTGACACATCCGTCCAAATGATGTGATGTTCGGTCATTAGGGATGGCTGGCCTCCGTACGCTTTGTCTCTGATCTCCAGGATCGAAATTTGAGCTCTGCGAGTTGTCACGCAGGACAGGCAGTTAGCCTGTCTAGTTCATTTTCAGACGGTGCTAGCCTGGTAAAATGAATAGTCGTCAGACCCAGACGTAGCACTACTCACAAGGTGCTCGAGGACTCCTCGACAGAAACCCTATGAATAGTGTGTTGTGTGTAGACAGTGTATCATGACATTTCGCATATCGTATCCGCTGATTCAGTTGGAGAAGATCATCATAAACGAGAGATTCACCTGAATTCAGTCAAAACCAAGTTAGTCTGCAAATGAGGGTATTCAGCGGATCGTTCTACCTGTTCCCACACCGCATATGAACCGAAACCGCTGCGATTATAACGCTTCAAAATCAGCATAAAGTCGGCCACGGTTTTACACACCAAGTGACTGCTTATGGCCTGACTGTCAGCCTCAAATGATGCATCTTATCCCACTCCGAATAGTAACAACAATCACTACCTGTTCTCCTCACTGCGCACCATCGGACAGCCGATACCCACACACGCTGTCGCGCCTCCTGTTCACAGCTGCAACGCCCTTTCGCCCATAGCTACCACCCGAAGCATGCACGAAGGCTGGGACACTGCCAATTTGTCCGGTCCTAGACAGTGGAAGTTGAGATGCTGAACCACGGACCTTCCAGTCGGTGGGTTCGTACCTGGGCTATCTCGGGCTCATGTCCTTCGCCAGGTCTGCTTGCCTTCACGCTTACTACTCAGGTATCCATGAGTATATGGTCATAGCTAGATTGCCACAATAGCAAGAAAAACTGAACCCATAATTAGTGTTCTTCCTTCCGCGTTCGGTCCTAACCGAAGCTATTTGATGGGACCACTCATTGTTTTGCCCCTCCATAAGAGCTACGGCTAACCGAGAGAAACGGCGAGTTGACTGTTTCCCACATTGTCGACTGGTGGTTTGAACGAAGGTTATTCTTGTTATGACTTGCTAAACGGTAGTGCAACTCTGTACCGGTCCCTTGGCTTCCTGCTCCCCCCAATACGGTATATCAGAATGCACGGTAGCTCTGCACAGCCTTTTATGGAGACAAAGGAAACTATTACAACTGTATTTATAGGGTAGTCACAGTGTTCGACAAGGTCGTGCCAGAATCTCCGTGAGGGGGCGAGAAGCGTCCAGTCAAGGATGCTCGACCCGGATTGGCTGGTATTCTGACCAATCAGGGCATGCCTTCGTTTGGTCCGTGTCCTGCATGTGTCACATCAGTCCAAATGATGTGGTGTTCGGTTACTAGGATCGGTTGGCCTCCGTACAATTCTCAATTCCTGACTCGAAACGATCGATCAAAAGGGTGTTTGATATTCTTCACTAAAAATACGGAAGTCACAAATTCAGCCTCACCTCAATTGAAGTTGATTGTTCCAAACAAAATTTAAATAAAACGTGAGAGAATTAGTATGCGAAGCTTAGCTGTACCACTTGGGTTCGCTTTCCTCGACCAACTTGTCGGTCAAGTTAGGATATTCCTCATGAAGAACTCCACAAATTTAATAGGTATACTTCCATAGGTAGCAAAGCGTGGTTGGTT